CTGCTGCCCGGGCGGCCGCGAGCGTATCGCCTGGCAGGGTCAGTCAGCATCGGCCGGGGGAATCGGCTCGGATCGGAATGCGCGTCGGATCGTCAGAGAGCAATTTACGGAAGCTTTTGGTCGTCTCCTTGGCGCCCAACAGCGAGTCCAAGAGTCCAGTAGCGCTCAAAACCGACGACACGCATCTCCCTCGCAGGGCACTGCTGGGCGCTGCTTGGGCGCTATTCGGAGCTGTTGGCCGCTTTGGTGCGTGGCTGGCGCGCTGTTGAGCGCTTCCGCGGAAGCCTCTGCGTCTTCTATGTGAGGATCGGGCTGCATTGAACGCATGAAAACCGACCCCGCCCCCCACCTGAGGAACTTTAGACCAACTGGACCGCGCGCGCGGGGACCTCCCCTGCGACAACTGGCAGTGGCCTCGCTTACCCGGCGCCTAGACTTATTTACACACATTCGCCATGATTGCAAAACGCTGACACGTACAATCCAGTGTTGTGGGGGCTGCATCGCAGGTCTAGAGGTTGACACCAACACCAAGATCGGCGGGTGCCTCCACCGAGGGAAGACGATCCTGATCTTGGCGATGGTGGTAATATTCTGGCTTACACATTGACCGAAAAATTACCACCAACACCGAATTCTAGGATGATCCTCCCTATGTGGAGGCAACCCCCTGTGCTGGTGTTGGTTCCACTTTCCAGGCCTGTACGGATGGGGTTGGTTTCCCACTGTTCACGCATCAGCTCGGAGCGCCGAAGTCGAACCGGATCGACCGCGCCAGGATGGACCGCATCGCCGTGCGAGCATCGGGACGCACCCCGCCGCTGGAGCATCCAGGTCGAATCGGATCGGCCGGCTGGAATCGACAGCGATTCGGACAGGTGGGAGCAGAATGGACCCTGGAGGGGGGTCGTTCTCTTGTGAACCCAAAAGGATGTCCAGCTGAAAGGGGTGGTGCGATAGAGTTGGGGCAAGTGCATTGCACATGTATTTCGCCGGAGAATTGGATTGTATTGTATTGCAGCCTATGCGTTGCACGCGAAAATCCATCAGTACACTTTGCAAAGGAATGTATTACACGCCCCAAACCTATTGCAACGTAATACATCTGGTGCGCCCAATGTATTGCACCACCCTCTTTTCGCTGGACCCCCGCTTGGACCCACCAGACATTCGGTCTTCGGCCCCTACCTCGGATCTCTCGGGATGATGCAGGCACCCCAAGAATGTTCTCGGCCGCATCCCGAGGCAAGAAAGCCTGCCAAGAACCGGCGAAAATTGGAGGTGGCCAGGGAGTTTGAGCTGGTTGGGTCACGAGAAAACTGGCCAAGAGGGGGGATAAAGCAAATCCGCTCAAAATCGCTCCCTTGACCCCTCCCAGGGTCCATTTGGTAGTTTTTGACAACGGATCCGTGGTCCGTCTACTCCTCCTTGGGTGCGTAGGCCAAGGCGCTGGGGAAAATCATACCGATAGCCCCAGGCAGACGCGAACCGAGATGACGACGTGTGGCTTACTTCCATCGGCGAAGGGACAGCGATAGACGGTAGCCTTCCAGCGGAGCGAAGGGACTCGTCAGCTGCCAATATTGTGGGTGCACGAAGAACGTGGTCGGATCATTGTGCTGCAAGCATGTGGGTCATCGCTCAAAGTTTCAGCCACAGCATCACCTGAACTACATGATCGAGGTCATAAAGGTGAAGGCAAAGACAAGCCCGACTGACCTGGCAAGGGTGAGAAAGGCAAAGGTATGGATGAGTGGCCACCACTGCCGAGCTCAGCGCAGGGAGCCCTACCCCCTGGACAAAGCGCGAGCTCTGGCGAAGCTGCCGCAAGCAGCAGGAGACGCGGAAGGGGCACGTCGGTACCAAGCACTCGCCGCCCGTGGACCACAGCATCCCGTCTGCGCACACAGCAAGATAGAGATGGCAGAAGGCAGAGCAGCTGCAGGCCTCGCTGGAACGCAAGCTCAGCAACGAGTACGCCAAGCTGGAGAGGCGGAGGATCGCCACACAGGAGCTCGAACCCAGCATCGCCCGCATGGCCAAGGACCTCGAGGAGGCAGGTCGGGAGCTCTCCGCCACTCTCGCTGATATACCAGGCGAGGTCAGAGCTCCTACCGAACGAGCACCAAACCAGTCGATCCAGGTCAGCATCCGCGAGTCGGTGGAGGGCAAGATCGAGCTGCAGAACACCTTCGCAGTGGACGACTTCCTGAGCACGTCAGGCGTGGTGGCTGCCCGTAGAGGCCCTGGACCACATCAACGGGGGGCAAAGGCAAAGCAGAAGAAGCATGTGTCCAAATTGGAAGGTAAGAAGCGCACCGTCAAAACAAGCACTTCGGCGGCAGGAGGAGCAGCTGAATCATCAGCATCAAGATCGGCGGCAGCAGCACGTGCAGAAGCAGAAAACAAGCCCCAGGCAGCAGCGCATCCAACCAGCCAGCAGGAGAAGAAGGCACCCACCATCAGGGAGAAGCTGGCTGCTGATCACGCCATTCGCAAGGCTGCTGAACAATCAGATGGCCTTTGACAGCGATGTGTGGCGCCAGCGGCCTGGGACGTGCAGTCCCCAGGAGGGTGCAACGAGGAGAGGGACGAGTACGGCTAGCCCAAGCTTCAGAGCTACGGCCAGATGCTGAACCTGCACAACCATCGCGTCTGGGACAGCCTCGGAGCCACGTTGCCCAGCCTCGGAGGCGTCAGAGCAAAGACATCCTGTCCCCACGCAAGCTGGACAAGGCACAAGACAACTACGAGACAGAACGAGCCCGAGAAGAAGTACAGGATTGACACTCGGAACATAATCACTTCCGGGGCAACTCCAAGAAGGCCCTCAGGATTGTTTGAAATCAGTACAAAGTCGTAGGCCCCTCGGAGCACCACCTCGGAGCACCACCAGGTTGCTGATAAGCTCCAGACGCTGGGCCACGAAGGGGACCAGTGCGGCTGGAGACCTATGACTTCTCCAGCCCGCCAGAGCGACAGTCATCGCAGCTGGCGGCCTCCTTCTCACGTGCAGGCCGACAATAGAGGAGAGTTCGTTCGCTCACGCCGCCGCTAAAGCCTATCAACGCTACGGAACTGGCCCAGTCAGAAGCTCAGGGAAGCTAGGATCTGGACCAGTCGACTTCCTGGAAATCACGACGGTTTCGGTCAAGACCTCATGGGGACAACATATATATGTGCACATATACATACTAGAACCATCGCGCGCGCTTCGCGCGCGCTCAGGTTCTAGCAGGCCCCAAGCCTTGACGAATTCACTGCTGCTCCACTGCAGTAGTAGGCCACAGTCCACGCATGCCAATCTGCATTCCGAAAGGCCTTCGAGGAAAATGGTTGTGTAGGGGGCGGAGGCCGTGTGAATCGGGTTCCAAGAAGGCCTTCTGGGAGCATGGGTGTGGGGCGTCTTGGGGAGCCTGTTGGGGCGTGCCGTCGTCGTCGTCGTCGTAATGTCGTCGTCGCCTATTGGGGCGCGCCGTCGTCGTCGTCGTCGTCGTCGTCGTCGTCGTCGTCGTCGTCGTCGTCGTCGTCGTCGTCGTCGTCGTCGTCGTCGTCGTCGTCGTCGTCGTCGTCGTCGTCGTCGTCGTCGTCGTCGTCGTCGTCGTCGTCGTCGTCGTCGTTTCGTCGTCGTCGTCGTCGTCGATTGAAGAGGGCACTTGGGGCAACTTGGTGCGAAACGATCTGCGGAGGGCCGCGAGAAGGCGATCAGTCATGTTCCCAATCAACTCTCCAGACAGCTCTCCTGTAGCATGATGGTACTTCGAAGCCTCCGGAGACTCGCGGGCCCACGATCAACCATGTCCCCGGAAGGCTTTCTGGGGACATGGTTTGTTGGGGTGTGTTGGGGGGTCTCTTGATGGGCGTTCCCTGGGGGCCCCTTGGGGGCCTCCGGGAACTCTCGGGCCCATGATGAACCATGTCCCTGGAAGGTTTTCTGGGGACATGATTTCTTGGGGTGTGCTGGGGGGCCTCTTGGGCGTTCCCTGGGAGCCCCTTGGGGGTCTCTTGGGGCTTCCTGGGGGCCTCTTGGGCACCTCACGGGGCTTCGTGGGAGCCTCGAGGGCCACAGACCTCGAAATGTCGGTTGGCGATCCCCCTCTGGGCCCTCTCTTGGGGAGCTCTTTGGGGACAGTTGGGTTGTCTGGGGAGCCTCCTGGGCCATCTTGGGGCCCTCTTCGGGGCCTCCTGGCCCGTCTTGGAGCGATCTGAAGGGCCTCCGAGCGAGGCCGTGAGGGAGCGCTGGGAAGCGGGGAAAGCGAGAACGCCTAAATCCTTCAAAAACCATCGGAAAATTAGTGAACCGTCCTGGAGCGTGTTCGAGTCCTCGTCGGCCGCCTTGAGGGCAGCTTGGGTGTCTTCGGGGCCTCTTGGGACCGTCTAGGGCCCTCTCGGGACCGTCTAGGGCCCTCTTGGGACCTCCATTAGCCTGTCGTGGCCCGCTTCGGGGCGGGCCCGGGCCGCCTCGGGACCCCTCTGGGCCTTCCCTTGGCGCGCTCTTGGGGCACACTTGGGTTGTCTGGGGAGCATCCTGGGCCGTCTTGGGGCCCTCGTCGGGGCCTCGTGGGCTTTCTTGGGGCGATCTGAAAGTCCTCCGAGGCCGTGAGGGAGCGCTGGAAAGCGGGAAAAGCGAGAACGCCAAAATCCAAAACACTCGGAAAACGAGTGAATCTTGCCTTCCAGGGCCCGTTTGGGGAGCCTCTCGAGTCGGCCCTGGAGCGTGTTGGAGTCCTCGTCGTCTGTCTTGAGGGCATGTTGGGCGTGTTCGGGGCCTCGTGGGACCGTCTTGGGTCCTCTCAAGACCCCCTTAGCCTGTCGTGGCCTCCTTCGGGGCGGGCTCGGGCCGCCTCGGGAGCTGTAGACCCCCCCCCGCAACCCCTGGTGGGCACCGATGGGGGGAACAGGCAGCGGCCCGCCCCCCCCCCGGGCCTACTCCAAGATAGGGAATTATGTTCCCGGGAAGCTTTCTGGGAGCATGATTTGTTCGGCTCTCTAAGAGGGGGGCCTCTGGGGGCTTACCGAGGGGCGCCTTT